ACTCAAAATAAACAAATAAATATTGATAATCTTGTAAGATACGTTACATACAAACACACACAACTTCAATAAATAATCTAGACATTCTATCTTTGCAAAGTGACTACTCCATGCTACCTGGTGATGTATTTTTGCAACCTATGCAACCCCAAATCTATCTGAAGTGAAACAGTACTTCAAAATATAATTAAAAATAAAATGACACCTTTTACAAAAAATAGTTTTTAACTCAGCAGGAAGGAATGAAACTTATTTTACTTATACCCTGTCATGGGTCCCCTGATAACATTCATGAACCCACAGCACAGAAGAGTGAAGAATCATGACCTCATGTTAAGAGACTTTATAACTTAAAATATATGTATTTAATTCATAAGTAATACATAACTTGTTATGAAAAATTCAAACAATATAAAATTACATATAGCAAAATGTACAGTTCCCTTTTATTCCTGCCCAAATTCCACTATTCCTATTCATTCCCAAATTGTTTGGGGTTAGTGTAAACTTCTTGTATAGATTTTTATATATGTATATTTTTACATACATAGTTATGCATATATGTATTTGTGTGTGTGTGTGTGTGTATGCCTTAAATAAAAATATACAAAACATTTTTCTTGAACTGAAATATATCATGTAGGCTTACATTCAGGTCTATCTCATGAAAGTTATTTTATAACTTTCATTGGGTTATCATTGTGTTCAGTCATGTTCTTATTAGTGAACATATAAAGGCCATTTTTGTTGCTATTTCAGTGTTTCAGTGGGTCTCTTTGTAAAGGTATCTTATCTACACATACGTATGTAATTTAGATTCCTAGAAACAGAAATGCTGAATTGAAGGATAAATGAGTTTCATATTTTTATATATCTGGACAAATCATCTTCCCAGTTAACGTCAAGTCATGTGACCACAGAACGGATATTAGACAACTTGAGATCTTCCTGGTCTTGTTACGGTCTTGTTAACTTCTGTCAATGCATTTATAAAAAAATGTTTTCTCATTTGTTTCTTTCATTTTCCCCTTACATCTGCCTTATAATTTTTGCTAGAACTGTCAAATATAATTTAGGAAACTCAAAATGAGTAGGAAAGTCTATTATATTCACTCATATTTTTGCTTCCTGTGTCCTTTTTTCCTTCTTGATATTCGTATGCTCCTTCTTTTATCATTTTCTTTTTTTCAGAAAGCTTCTTTGGCCATACTTTCCAGATAGATTTACTTGTGATTAATTCTCTGTTTTCCTTTATCCAATAACGTTTTGATTTACCCTTTATTCCCAAAGGATATCTTCCCAGGTACAAGATTCTCAGATGAGAGTTCCTTCCTTTCATCACCTAAAAATATATTTGTAGCTTCTTTCAGACTTCAATAACATCTAAAAAAATCTACTCTCATTCTAATTGTTTTGCCTTCATAAGACGTCATTAATTTCTGGATGCTTTCAGGATTTGTATTTAGTTTTCAGAAGTTTATGCATTATGTGTCTTCATATGGACATCTTTGGATTTATCATGTTAGGGAATTCAACTTCTTGAATCTGTAGTCTTATGCCATTTGCAAAATTTATTAACATTTTAGCCATTATTTTCTCTAGTTTTTTTAGCTTCATACCCTTTCCCCCCCATCTGACACTCTGATGACATGAATGTTAGATCATTTGTTGTAATCTCACAGATCCCTGAGGCTATTTCCCAGGCCCCACCACCAATCTATTCATTCTCTGTTGCTTACATTGAGTAATTTTTGTGGTTCTGTTTTATGGTTCATTGATTCTCTTTTCTATCTTCTCCATTTTTTTGTTGTTCCACCCATACACTGAGTTTTCATTTCAATTACTGTATTTTTAGGTCTAAAATTTTGATTTGGTTTCACTTTATAGCTTCTATTTCTTTGCTGAGGCTTTCTAATTTCTCATTTTGTTTCAAGCATATGTGTAATTGCTCACTGAAGCAAATTTATCATGGCTACTTTAAAGTCTTTGCCAGATACCTAACATTTTTGTCTTTTCCTTTGAGATAGAGACTTGCTCTGTTACCCAGGCTGGAGTGCAGTGGTGCGATCTGGACTCACTGCAACCTCTGCCTCTTAGGCTCAAGAGATCCTCCCACGTTAGTTTTTCTAGTCGTTTGGAACACAGGTGGATGCCACCTTGCCCAGCTAATTTTGTATTTTTTTTGTAGAGACAGGGTTTTATCATGTTGCCTGGGCTGGTCTCAAACTCCTGGGCTCAAGCGATCTGCCTGCCTCAGCCTCCCAAAGTGCTGGGATTACAGGGTGTGAGCCAACACTCCTGGCCTCATCTTTGCCATTTTGATGTTGCCATCAGTTGATTGTCTTTTTCCATAATTATTGAACATTTATGGTTCTTTGTCTGATTTCTGGTTCTCTGTATGATGAATGTTTCTTGGTTGAAGCCTAGACATATAAATATTATTTTATTAGAGTCTGGCTCTTATTTAAACTTTTTTGGTTTTCTCTGACATTGCTCTGCTTTGTCAAGGGAAGGTGCTATCTTGTGTCTGTTTCTTAATCACTCTCTATACAGGCCTGTGAGGGGACAGGCTTCTCCTTATTGCTGGATGTCCCACCTGTAAGCATGATGTCCACTGACACTATGGTGGGAGTGGCCTCATAACTGCTAGGTGATGTTGAAAATATTGACTGTCCTCTAAGTCTTCTCTAAAACCACCCCAGCAGGGAGGGAGGGTATACCTTGTTTCTGCAGGGAAAGTGTAGAATTCCTGGCTCTCTATGTGGTCTTCCTGGCACTGGGAGGTATGAGGCTCACTATAGGATGGTGGGGCATGAAAATCCAGTTCATTGTTTGTCCTTTCCTGACACCATCTTGAGTTAGGTGTGACGGTATCTCAATACCACCTCGTAAGACTGGAAGTCTGGGCTCTCCATTTGGGCCTTGCTGTCTGAAGTGGGGTTGCATTTCTTCCTGTGGTGTTGGGCTGGAGTAGAGCAGTTGTCTAAAGCTTTTCTGTCTTGCTAGGCTTCCCCTTTCCTAACCTCCAGAGAATGTTAGATTTGCTAGAGAAATTTGGCTTTTGTTGGGACTTTGTTTTCTGTCTGTACCCGCTGATGTTGCCATGTTGCCAGTTTCTTCATCTTCAAGTCTAGGGTATATGAAGTAAAAGGAAAATCCTGGGAATTCACCTCCACATTGTTTCTCAGGTTCCAAGGTCCTTACCCAGCCTGTGCTTATGTCCAGCACCGGGCATCTCCTTAAGTTTGTTATATATACTGTGTCCAGGGTTTTTAGTTGTATTTAGCAGGTAGAATAGAAAAAAGTACGTCTGTTCCATCTTCCTAGAAGTGAGATTCTTACTATCTTTAGATATCTAGTGGCAGGGCAAGGGAGCAGGGAGATTTTTGGTAATTTTTTTAAAAGGTGCAAAATTTTCTTGCATAGACCTGGAATTCACCATTAATTTATTCATTTATATGAGAATATAGGGCTTATCAGTGGTGGAACCTGAAATCTTCCTTTGTGTCATATGTAGCAGTTAATCACTCAAGATCATGTTACTACATATTTGTTGTTTTTCAGAATTCTGATGAAAGGATCTATTCACAATAGAGTGATGTCACCCTGTCACTTTTAGAAATCAAATCAATAAATGTACGGAAAAGAAATATGTTCACATGAAATAGGTAAATGTGAAAAGCAGACATAGTACATTGGGATGCAGAGATGAAGAGTAGACATGGAGTAAAGCATTATTTATAAAACCACTTTGCAGAAAAAAATTTTCAAAATCAGTAAGCTGTTGAGATTACATTTTAGAATCCTACTCGCTTATCCCCGATATTGGGCATAGGAACTCCAAATCAAATGTCCCCATTCCTGATGAGAAGAAAAGTTCACAGAAGAGAAGATAAGAGAGAGAGAAAATAGATTGAATTAAAAATTAAGCCTAAGACCTCAATATTAAGCCTACCTTGATGCCTTTTAAAACATGTTACTGGAGATAAACGTATTTAAATATTTGGCTCTTGCTAGAAGTCTAACATATTCTCCCTCTCCTAAGAAACATAACATGAATTCTGTTCTTATGTCCTGTTCTTCACAATTGAACAAAATTAGAAAAACAATTATGGAAATTTTTTAAATAATCACTTCATTTTAGAAGATTTTTTCAGATGTGACAAAAATCATCAAGTATATCCTGTAAGTAGCTATTTACTGACTCTAAATTTCTTTCATATTTAATGAACTGCTGAAGTTACATGTATCCTAGAGTTCAACTGTCAAAATTTTTTTATTAATGTTTATGGTTTGGTATTAATTATTATTCAATATTGGCATTATTTTTTAGATGCTATATGCTCTTTTGATGAGTCAATAATGAGGAACATAAATGTAAATAAGATCTTTTCCAGGGATCATGATAAAGGTTTTGTCATTCATCTTCACATAATATAGTGATTTTTTTCTTTCCTGCCTTGTTCAAAGTTTATCAACAAATCACCACTTTGCAGCATGTTAGAAAGGATGAAAATTGAACAGCTAGGGCAAACATGCAAAAGAACGACCAGAGAAGCTCAAGGATATTTTATAAAAACATATACCAGAAAAATAATCTATGTAAAATGGATCTCAGATGAGCAAACCTAAACATTTCTTAACACATATATATTTGAAGAAGACACATATACATAAAAATATTATCACAATGTATGATTCTGATGCCTTTCACTTTGGCTTTAAGATTCTTGACAACCTGGCTGATATTAAGAATCACCAGGACCATTTGTTTTAAAAGTGGATTTCCAAGAATTATTTATATAGTTCCTGAATCTAGGACTTGGGTCTGTTACTATTGATCAGACATATTTGGGAAAGGGTATATTACAGGAACTGAAGTGCAATAATGATAGCACTTGCTCAAAAATTTCAAAACTGTCACCAAACAAACAAACTAACCAACAAAACACCATGATATTCTATTTCACTGAAATCGGCAATTTAAGTCCACGACTCACCTTATTGAATAAAGAACATTTCCATTTTTGAAAATTCTTAGCAATTTGTTGTCTGTAGTGACTTCATGAAAGTTGGCACCCTTTTCATTGGCAAAGAATAAATCAGGTTTCCAAATGGAGTCCAACATGGAGGGGTCGAGGTCTAAAGAGTCGTCAGGATACTCACTGTACGCGAGGCGGGGATCATTCCATTTCTGGCGAAGAAAGATATTCACTCTGTAATCCTATGATAAAAGAACAAAAGAAGGAAAAAAAAACCCTGCTTTAAAAAGTTTAGAACCCATAGTGTCAATGTGGTGCCAACGCAGGCTCATCGACTGTAGAAAATGTATCCTTCTTGGGGATGGGTTGCATAGTTAATTGAGGAGGCTATACAAGTGTTGGGACAGAGGGAGGATGGAAATCTCTGTACCTTCTTCTTAATTTTGCTGTCAACCTAAAACTTCTCTAAATAATAAAGTCTTATAAAAAAGAGTTTTGGATCTTATGTACTGTTCTTTGGGTTTTTCTGAATTATAACAGGAATCAATGACATTCTTGGGTACTTCCGTCCCCCAGGATCCTCACTGATTACCACTTAGAAGAGTCATCCTAGTTCTGAGGTTTTGGCCATATACCTTCAGTGACCTATATGCCTCCAAAGAAAAGACCACAATTTATCATGTTTAAAACTTGTTGTTCCATTCCAATTTTACTTTCCTGCTTTGTCAGAATAAAATGCTGGAATGCTATTAGACACTTAGAGAAAGATATTTTCATCTTTGCATTTATTTTTAGAATAATTTCTTTTAGTAGATATCCAACAACATCCAGAATATGTTTAGTGAACTTGTCTTAAAAGCTCTCTGTGTTACAAAAATGACCATATACACTTCTTCACAATGAAAGCACATTTTCTCATGTTTAACATAGCAAGTAAGTTCTATGAAATAAGTAATTTAAGAAAAATAAAGCTGATTTTAGAATAATGAAAGAATAATAAAGGACAATTATTGTCAATAATACTTCAAGAAAATTTGGCTAATGAGATTTCCCAATTAGATCTTTCATAGTTAATTGTAAAAAGAGTCAATGATTTCAACCAAATTCTTGCTCACAATTTTGGACTAATGTGTAGAATGACAAATGTTGACAGCTGAGTATATGTGTAGTGTTTTTATATACACAGTATATGAAAATAAGTACCACATATGTCTTTGTAAATACTTTTTTCTAGATTTTTGAAATGAGCCAATAAAATAAATATAGATCTCATTGTAAGCATGATCAAAGCAAACATTTGAAGACCACTGTATTTGCATGCAAAATAGCCAAGGCTGAAGATACTCATAAAAACTGAAAGTCAGTTTTCATCTATTTTTCTATTTCTTGAATACCAAATTATGAGACATCAGAATGTAGTAACCAGGCAATCACAACGAATGCTTTAATGATATCAGAGCAGGTAGATTGCTTATGTTATCAGTAGGTCGAAGTCAGAGTTTGTACTGAATGTTACACATCTGTACATCACCTTGATCAGTATTTGTGCCCTGAGGCTATCTTCTAACTGCAACTAAGGTTACATACCAGAAACTATTTTTTCTGTTTGCTAGCTGCCCCAGGTATCTTTCCAAAGTGACAATGGAGCAGAGTTCACTTCAACTTTTTACCAGAAAGCTAACGATATTGTGGAAATCTCACCCGCCACAAGGATCTAGAGAACCTGTAAATGGGGATATGTGAACAAGCTTCTACCAGCCTAGAACAGGTCATCTTCTCTTAGCCTGTAGTCCAGGGCACCAGGAAGCACAGCTCCATGGTTGGTGCCCAGTTCTTGTTTCCTTCGCCATTTTCCAGTGTGTGCCCTCAATACCACTAAAGGAATCAGTGATTGACCAAATCAGTCTCTCTCTGCTTTATAGGCAGGAGAAGACTGAACAAGGTCAAGTTATAATCATACCTGCCAGGAAAGATAACTGACTAGTAAAGAATTTACATTGTACTGATTTATAAGACACATAATCAAGTTGTTTGAAGCATTTTTTGCTGTCACATTTCTTGATTTAGAACTCTCTGCAGCTGTTCACCACACTTAGGCTAAAATAAAAGTGCTCTTTAAGTTGCAGTATATGTAATAAAATTTGGTAGAATCTCTTTATCCTTATGTTATTAGTACTAGTGATACACTTTACAGATACATTTTCAGTTCTTCCGGGAACACTTTTTGCTCCAAATGTGAACTAGAAAAGATGCTAAGTATCTTTCAGTTTCTGTTTCTAAGTAATACAAGGAAAAAGCAACAGTCACCTGTCACCAAGGCCAAATGTTGTGATGCTCTATGCCCATTGTGATGCTCTGTCTGAAATATCTCTGTCTCTTAATACATTTAGTTTAGGAAAGTAAGAAGCATCTGAGGTCACTGGATGCCATTGTGAAAATGTGTAAAGAAAGGGGTAAGTAACCTGACCGTCAAAATAGTACCACCCTAAGAGAATTCACGACAGCATGGAAAATATGATTTTCTGATCTATTGTACTGCATGGTAAGTACAGTTAATAATAATGTATTGTATATTTCAAAATAGCTAAAAGAATAAATTTTTGACATTCTCACTCCTAAATTGTATTAAGAGGTGAGATGCTGAATATGTTAATTAGCTTGATTAAATCTTTCTATACTTTGGTTCAGGGCCAGGATTCAAAGCAAAACAAAAATAATGATGTCCTGAAAACCTTAGAAACTAAGATTTTACTACTCCTTACAGTTTTGGTTTTGCTTTGCCTGCAGATTAGCATTGAGATGTAAAGTTACTAAATAACCACATTCAGCATTTTGAAAATGGTTTTTTAAGGCTGATTCTTCATAGCCACAGTATCCCATTATACCCAGCAACCAACTATATTAATTATTTTTGAATTTTGGCTATTTGTGAAAATGTGTAAAGAAAGGGGTAAGTAAACTGACAGTCAAAATAGTACCACCCTAGGAGAAGTCCTAGTAACTAGACGTGAAATAACTTGCCTGTAATAAAATTCCCTGGAGCGAAGAAGAAAAGGACCTTGTACAACACATTTTGTACACGGCAAAAGGTCAAATTACATCTCAACATGACGCTACTCAAGGTGACTTGGAGTGAATTAAAAGTTCAAATATGATGGGTAAAAATTTTTTTAAAAGGAAATTCAGCAGAGTATTTATGTGGCCTTGAGGTAGGGTAAATTATTTAAAAAGCACAATAATATTGATCATAAAATAAAGGTTAATAAATTCTGCGATGTCAGAATTAAGAAATTCTGTACATCCAAAGGTCACTTAAGGATAATGAAAACATAAATTATACTGCAAGAAGGTGTTTGCCACATATACAATTGACAGTTGATTATTAACATGCTTTAAAAGATTTCATAGTGATAATTGAGAAAAAGAGAAAAAACTGAGTAGAAAAAATGGCCAAAACAATCACAACATTTTACTAGGCAGGCATTGCAAATATCCAGTAAGTATCTGAAAAAATGTTCAACCACATTAGTAAACAAAGAAGTGAAAATTAAGATATTAATGAGATACTATTTTATATTTACTGGGCTGTTAAAAATAAGACTTTTGATGATATCAGAATTTGTCAAAAATACAGGGTAAAATAATGCTTTATACATTGCTGCGAAAAACATAAAAAGATGGAAAAAAATGGCCAGGTACAGTGGCTCATGCCTTTAATCCCAGCACTTTGGGAGGCCAAGGTGGGTGAATCACGAGGTCAAGAGATCGAGACCATCCTGGCCAACATGGTGAAACCCCATCTCTACTAAAAACACAAAAATTAGCTGGGCATGGTGGCATGCGCCTGTAGTCCCAGCTACTTGGAAGGCTGAAGAAGGAGAGTCAGTTGAACCCAGGAGGCAGAGGTTGCAGTGAGTTGAGATCATGCCGCTGCACTCCAGCCTGGTGACAGAGCGAGACTCCCTCTCAAAAGTTAAAAAAAAAATTGAAAAATTAACATTGTAACATAAATTTGATATGTGCATACTCAGGATACAAACATTTTGGGTCAAAATACAAAACTTAAAGAAACCTTTGTGTTTGTGCAACAGAAGACATATACAAAAGTATTTATAGCAACACTGTTAGCTCTAATGAAAAACCAAGCCAAACCAAACCAAAACCTGAAACCAACAAATATCCATTGGCAGAAAAATGCGTCATAAACTGTGCCATGTCAATCAAATCAAATATCTAGCAATGAAAATAAATTACCACTATTTCCAATGATGAGGATGAGTCTTATAAATGTTAAACAGTATAAAGAAAAAAAGCAAATGCTGAGGATATAATGTATGGCATCATTTTTGTAAAATTCAAAACCAAGCAATTTCTCTCTTTCTCTCTCTTTTTATATATATCTTTATGTGTATGTATGTATGTGTGCATGTATGTGTATGTGTGTATATATGTATACATATCCATCAATATAGAATTATAATCACCAACTTTATGATAGTGATTACCTAGGGAAATGCTGGGGAATGAGACAGTGGATTATACAGGTATTTTTAATATTGGTAATGTTTTAGCTCTAAGTCTAGGTAAAGGATTCAATAATGTTTATGTTATTAAATTATACTTAATCACATATATATTATGTATGGAATTATATACCAAAAGAAACCTTGTTATAAGAATTCTTATAGCTGGAAGAGGAGAAAGAGAGTCAGCGCCAAAATGATGTGATGTGAAACTGACTGGGTATCTGCTGGAGGAAAAGGGTCAAGAAAGAACCAAAGAATGTGGGCAGCCTCTAGAAGCTGTAAAAGCAAAGGAATGGGTTTTCTCCTAGAGCCTCCAGAAGGAACACAGCCCTGTAGACGCCTTGAATTTAGTCTGGCAAAACACACTTGCTTCTGACCTCGAGAAGTGTAAGGTAATACATTAGTGTTGTTCAGGCCACTTGCAGTATAAATATTTTTAAAGTTTTCTGTATGTTGTGTTTTTCTGACATCTTAAAAAACCCTTCTGGCTGAGGAGAGACTACCTCTCCCAGTGCTAGTCAAATTTCAGAGATAGCAGAGGGCCCAGCCTGGAGCACATCTTGAGTAAACAAACTAGTAAGCTCAGAATCTTCCCTCCTCTATCAGCCAGTGCACCCGGAAGACAGTGTTCCTGTGCCTTAGTCATCTCTGGGCTAGGAACCAGGCAACTAGAAACCATCTCTAGAGCCCAAATCCTGGCAAAATTATTCAAGCTA